ATTCACCAAAAACTGTTCTGTAATCTGTAACGTTCACTATGCTGAGCTCCAGTTAGCCGCCTTATCTCACTGCGCGAGAGGCAACTGCGTCATGCGTCACGGGCAAAAGGTCAAAGGTAACAAGGTGACCGGAAGGCTTATTATGTTGTACAAAAATAAATAAAATCATTTTAGTACATGTTATTATGTGTCAGAAGAGGGCTTTGAAAATAATACCAACAAAAAAAAATTGACCAAAAGGGCACTTTGGGGCAAGGAGCAAAAAGGGCAGGTGCTCAAGCACCCCCAGCCCCCCCCTCTGCACGTGCCTGGAGCCCATAACTATTCAGACCGATGCGTTTCATCTTTGAGGAAAATAACTACTTACATTGGAGCGAGGTTTTCACATCCTTTATTTTTATTTTATTTATTTTGTGTGTGTGTTAGGTTATTGTCTGAGGATAAATGCGGTTTAGCTTCATCGTTTAAACAATGAAATGTTAAAATCATCGTGTCTGATGCTTCTTGGTCTAAATAACTGAATGTCGTCAGGTCTCTGTGTATTTAGGTGAGTTTTGTCACTTTGTAGTTTGATAATGTTCATAAAGTTTGCATGGCTGCCGCATATTTTTACGGCAGGTCAAAAGTGTGTGTATATTTACACAAACTGACGCAAAGTTAATTTTTATACATGCCGACTTGTGCATAAAATATGGCGCCACACATTTTATTGTGCGCAGCTTTTAGACATGAGGCCCCAGGTCCATGATTTACAGTTCAGGATGAGAGAGAATCCAGAAAAGACAGCAGAGGTCAAAGGTCAGGAGCAGGGCAGACCGCAGAGGGCAGGAAGTGAAAACTATGTTTTGAACCACAGAAACCTTACAGATGTGGTCGATCTTATGTTTGCTTTCTCAGGTGTACAGTTTTCAAAATGGCTGCCATGGTTGTCATGGAGAATGTTGCAGTAAAATCAGCTGCTGTTGTTGCCATTGTTGGGCACAGCTAACCAACAAGTTAATGCTGCTAACCGCTAACTCACTAAACAAGAATGTTAGCTCTGCTAACGCTGAATTGCTAAACACATGAAAAATGATATCAAGCTAGCGCTAACCATTAGCTCTGCTGTTTCTCATCTTCATCTCCTTCCAGCTGACGGCTAGTCTGAGACTCGCTAACTGCAACATTCTTCGTTTCTGATTCTGCTGCAAATCATAGCTTAACATCACATGAACAGGAAGTGGAAAACATGATGCGACATAAAGTTCATCCTGAAAATGTCAAACGTTTTACAGTAATAACTGGTTTGAAAGGCTCAAAAACGACAGCCATCTTGAAAAATGTCCGTCATCCTGAAACTCCAGTGGCTCAATTGGCAATGCAACAAAGAAATGATTCTGATAGTTCTGATAACTGGACTTGGATCCAAAAGGGTCTGGTTGGACCAAACCTGATTAGAACCTGCTCTGGTTCTGCTTCCAGGAACCGGGCCACGGAGCTGGAGACCCAGCTGGAGGCCTTCTCTGCTCGCTACCTGCAGGCTGCAGACTGAAGCAGCGGCGGTTTGGTTCCACCTGCTCCGACCGGAACCGGACCGGAGGAGGGTGGTTCTGCCTGTCCTGGTGTTGGCCAGCAGTGGGCAGACTGAGGTGGTATCAGGGTTTGGTTCTGATCTCGATCGGGTTCATCTGGTTCTGATCCGTGACCTTCCAGCTGTTTGAGGTGAAGCTCCGCCTCCACCAGATGTTCTTGTGACCTCTGACCTCTGCAGCTTGCAGTCAGGTTCATCAGAGACCTGATGCCTCGCTGCAATGAGGTTCTGGGTGTGAATCCGGTGGTCTGCATGTTCTCCCCGACCCGGTCCAGAACCAAGCTGCATTAGCCAGTACCAACTGAAATGTTTAAAAGCCTTTGTTCTGTTAATGAAAACGATTTTCTGCTTCAGCTAATAAAAACATTTAATACAGAAATCTGGATTCATGGAAACTATGAATATTACTGGCTGAGAGACGTTCTAACAGAACCTGATGGAACCGCCATGGATGGATGGATGGATGGATAGATGAGTCGGTCGGTCAATTAATTGGATGTAGAAGACCAGGTCTCGCTGCTGAGAGCCAATCGGAGGCTGGAGGTGTCAGTGACCCCGTTGCTATGTGTCGTAACCCCCGTTGCTATGTGTCGGTGATCCCGTTGCTATGCATCGGTGACCCCGTTGCTATGCGTCGGTGGCCCCGTTGCTATGTGTCGTGACCCCCGTTGCTAGGGGTGGTGACCCCGTTGCTATGTGTCGGTGACCCCGTTGCTAGGTGTGGTGACCCCCGTTGCTAGGGGTGGTGACCCCCGTTGCTAGGTGTGGTGACCCCCGTTGCTAGGGGTGGTGACCCCGTTGCTATGTGTCGGTGACCCCGTTGCTAGGTGTGGTGACCCCCGTTGCTAGGTGTGGTGACCCCCGTTGCTAGGTGTGGTGACCCCCGTTGCTATGTGTCGTGACCCCCGTTGCTATGTGTCGGTGACCCCCGTTGCTATGTGTTGTGACCCCGTTGCTAGGGGTGATGCTGTCATGTAGGGACTGTGATGGGGGTCTGATAATGTTGCCGTCACCTGCTGGCGTCTCCATGGCGACTGCATTCAGCAGGTCTCATCTCGGCTCTGATTGGTTGGTGGAAATGAACCGATCTTTGAGTCCAGATGATGATGGAAGTAAAATGAATGGGAATAATAAACACTGAACTGATTATTGTCTTTAATACAGATTAATAGGTTTTTTGTGTGAAGTGTCTCAAACACAATAAAAACGAATAAAACAGGATTAGAAGTGCAACAGTGCTCAACACTAGCATTTTAAAAACCATAAAAACAAACGGCGCCCTCATTAGGAGAAAATGAAAATTACATTTAAAGGAATAAGAAATAAAACTTTGCTAAAGTAAATTTTGGAAACTTGGCAACAGGAACCAAACTGGTTTCCTAGTTTAGTTTCTGGGGCCAAATATCTGTGTCTGTATGGAGAGATGGCTGACCTCTGACCTCTGGGTTCAGCTATGAGTTTATTAAAAAGCCTTGTCACTGATTAAAATAGTCTTTAGATATGAATATAGGAAGGTAAAACACAGAGCACCTCAGATCAGATCCTCCGACTCCCTGAGGAGAAATACTGATGCGGATAATATTTACTCACAAATAACTTAATAGTTTCACTGAGTATTATTTATGTATTTACCTGCAGATTAGGCCCCGCCCCTTTTGTTGTCACCTGAGCTTTTATTTTGGTGACTCAGTACAACCTCCTGACTCGCTCTGCAGCTCAGACAGACGTTAATATTCAAACATTAATAAATACTGATTAAACTACGGAGGCCTCTGGGGGTCATGGGGAAAAGTTTCCCCCTCAGAAACATTACTGCAGTATTTCCTGGTCTATTTTGTTTTCAGTCAGTAATTTAATATGGTCAAATAAAGAGCCTCGCTGAAAACGTGTTTATTCTTAACTCTGAAAATGGATTCATTCAGTTCATGTTTATGTCTGATTGAGCAGGTTGGGATGGAAACTTTAACCGTTCAGACCAACAACAGACTAAACTGTCAGATGATTTATTATCGACTCAGAAATAGTCCAGATAGTTTGGATGTATTTTTATTATTTTTCTTCTTGTAGGAAGTTTCTGTTTATATCACAGGTTTGTGATTCATTTCTACCCTAAAGAAAAAGATATAAAACTTCAGATATTTCACATGGAGAAATTAAGAAACATGGAAAAACCTCCTGAAAGCCTCAGATTAGAGCAGAGAGTAAGACGCAAAAGAAAACGTCCCCATGTCCCCCACAGGCCTCCGTACTAAACACCGCTGCTATTAATACAAACTCTTCTTCGTTCTGATCCCACGTCTGCGCTACAATCCGCTCAGCTTGGAGCTGCAGCTGCTGACGGGGTCAGAGGTCAGGCTGAAGGCCCAGGACTTCCTCTGACATTTAGATACAGAAGGAGAGAAAATAGCTCTGCTGAGAGGTCAGAGGTCAGGGGGCGGAGCTCCAGCAGAAGGTCCTCCAGGTTAAAGGGTTGTGCTTCAGGTGCAGCAGCGTTCTCCTGTGACCTCTGACCCGGTCACAGGTCTCCGCCCTCCAGGGTTCTGATCAGCAGGTCCAGGTCCCCCAGGCTGGCGGCCCGGTCCAGCCCGGGGTCGTCCATCATGGAGACGGTGATCCGCAGGGCGGCCCAGATGTTGGTGGACATCTGCAGCTGGCTGCAGCCCTGGCTGCACCTCTGCTGCTTCAGAGCCGTGACGAAGTTACTGACGGCCTCCCTGCAGAACCAGAACCGAGTCATAAACAAGCCTTCGTCCCAGTAAGCGGGCTGCCGGGGTGGCGGTACCTGAGCGCGCCCAGGTTGATGCAGCTGATGCCCAGGTTGTACCGGGAGCGGATGAAGCCGGGCCGCAGCTCCAGCGCGCGGCTGTACGCCTCCACCGCCTCGGCGCTGCGGCTGCCGTTAGCCAGCGTCGCTCCCAGCCGGTTCCACAGCAAGTAGTCCTGAGACGGACACAGGAAGTGAGGTCATCATGACATTATCAGCCTGCTGGAGCCCCACCAGAACCAGAACCAGCAGCAGTCCGGTGCTACCTGCGGTCTGACGGACAGCGCAGCGCTGAACGCCTCCACCGCCCGGTCAAACTCTGAGCTCAGGTTGTACAGAACTCCGAGTCCGGTCTGCAGGTCCGGATCCACGTTATCCACGTTCAGCTGCGCCGCTTCCTGGAAGAGCAGCAGAACTTCCTGCAGCGCCGAGCTGAAAGAAAAACATTGGCTTTATTTACGTAGCGCCACCTGCTGATTGCATCTCCAGATTCCTCCTTGGACATTCGGAGTCGCTTTTGGTACCGATGACCCCGGCCAACCGGACTCCTCTGGGCCGTCACGCTGACGTCCAGCTCAGGTGTTTCGTTACCTTGCAGGTATGGAGCAGCTGGGGCCCCTGCGTGGTGTGGCTGGGGAACCCTGTAGCGGACTCCTGCTCTGGACCAGGTGTCGGTATTTGTGGTTGTGGCCGATCCAGTGGCGCAGAGCGTCGCAGGCCTCCGGCAGCTGGCTGCTGTTGGTGAGGCTGGCGGCGAGCGCCATGAGAGCCGGCAGGTTGTTGGGGCGGAGCTCCAGACACCTGCAGCAGGTGAGCAGTTAGTGACCTTCATCAGAGCTGAACAGATCAGACAGGAAGCTGGTCTGACCTCTGCAGCGAGGCGATGGCGGCTTGTTCGTTCTCGTTCTCAGCCTGAGTCGTTCCCAGCATCTGCCACGCCTGCAACAGGAAACGGTCACCGGTGAGTGTCAATGGTCAGAGAATGGAAGGCGACAGAACCCAACCAACGGGTCACCTCGGCATCACTGGGGTCCTGCAAGATGGCGGCCTCCAGCAGCAGGACGGCAGCGTTCAGGTCTCCCTCTCCAGCTTTCTCCTGACCCTCAGCGAAGGCGTTGGGCCAGTCAAGGTACGGGTTGGTGGCGCTGAAGTAGTAACCCTGCAGAACCAGAGGTCAACAGGAAGTACCGCCCTGCAGAACCACAGAGGTCAACAGGAAGTACCGCCCTGCAGAACCACAGAGGTCAACAGGAAGTACCGCCCTGCAGAACCATAGAGGTCAACAGGAAGTACCGCCCTGCAGAACCATAGAGGTCAACAGGAAGTACCGCCCTGCAGAACCATAGAGGTCAGCAGGAAGTACCGCCCTGTGGTGGTACTTCCTGTATGACCCCATCAAAACTAGCCTCCATCCTCCTGATGTTGCAAAATAAAAGCCTTTCTGCAGGTGAGCTTTTATTGTGAAACATCTGCAGGATGTTAGTGGAAGTCTGATTAGACCACGTCACCTCGGTTGCCATGGTGACGTAACCCTGAGCCATGACAGGATTAGAGGATTAGGGCCGCTGGCCGTCTGGATGGAAGCTGCTGGACTAAAGCTGTAGATTAACTCCAGATCATGGCAGTGATGCATGCTGGGAAGCTGCAGGAGAAAACAAGGTGACATCATCAGGGCGTTACCTTCTCCACAGGTGAGACGGGGGGCGGGGCCGGCTTCTGCTGGCTCGCCGCCTCCTCCAGCCAGTTCCTGCGAGCAAGCTCCTCCCACTCCGCCTGCATCTTGTCCCAGAACTCTGTGTCCGACTGCAACAGAACCCGACCAGAACCTGATCAGAACACCAACCAGAACCAGACCAGAACTCAATCAGGACACCAGCCAGAACCAGACCTGAACCCGATCGGAACCCGACCAGAACACTGACCAGAACCAAATCGGAACCCGATCAGAACCTGTCCATAACCAGATCAGAACATCAACCAGAACCAGATCAGAACATCAACCAGAACCCGATCGGAGCCAGACCAGAACCCGATCGGAACCAGACCAGAACATCAACCAGAACCCGATCGGAACCAGACCAGAACCCGATCGGAACCAGACCAGAACCTGGAAACAGACCATTGCAGTGAGCTGGTTCCACCAAGCGGCTGAACTACGCCACCCTGTGGTCACACTGGTCCCTGCAGCAGCCTGGTTCTACATCAGGGGTCTCCCACTCCGGTCCTCAGGGGCTCCTGTCCTCCATGTTGAGACGTTTCCCTGCAGCTCCTGGAGACTGAGGAAATGATGTCATCACTGGAAGAGCTGGCCCTGAGGACCGGGGTGGGAAACCCCTCAGATCTCAGCTCAGACCTCTGACCAACCTTCTCGGATCAGAACCAACTGAACCGCCGACTCGGCAGATGGAGATCTGATCTTCTCCAATTTCAGTCAGCGGGAATCTGAGAACAGGAAGGTTCTGGTCAATCCGGTCAGAACCCGATCCAGTCTGAACCCAACACCTCCCTCTTTCAGGCTTCATCGATCTGGTTCACTGGGTTCAAAGTCTGCTGATGCCTGACCAGATACACTGGGGCAGTCAGGACTTAGTCAGGCCCAGATCAGGTTCTGTTCCACCAGGAAATCCTTCTGCATCAGCAGGAAGTTCTGGTTCCAGCAAAGCTCCAGCAGACCAATCAGGAGCTTCCAGTCAGAGCAGCGATGCTGATTGGTCCACTGAGGCGAGCCAGTGGGAGCACCAGGAAATCTGACATCACTTCCTCTCCTCCTCACCAGAACCGCACCAGAAACAGAACCAGGCAGAGGTCTCAGAACCTCATCAGAATAATGGACTTTACTGGACCAGAACCTGGAGATTAGGTCCAGATATCAGCCTCCAGGTGGTGCTGTGGTTCTGGTCCGGTTCAAGAGCGATTACTAGTGATGGGTCTGGCAACACCGATGCGTCGGCGCATGCGTCCAGCCCACAGACCAAAA